GTGGAATTAATTTGCTAAATTTCATTAATTGAGGAAACACGCCATTATCAACACATTTATTGAAAATAGTAGCTAGATAAGGAGCAACAATATCTATGAATGTACTAACTACTTTAACTGACATGTCCCAGAGATCTTCCGTATTTTTTAAATTTAACTGTTTGAATATTTTTATGACATGAAAAGGGCTGACATGTGAAAATTTAAATGTTAAAGAGCAAGGGCTGACATTAGCCTCCAGTAATGTTTTTGCTCGAATTGGAGATGAGTCTAGAGAAGATGTAATATCAATCGGAATATTAGCAAAAAAATCTTGAAAAATATGAACTATATCTTTTGTTGCTGTTATTAACTTATTGTCATAATTTAATGAGAATTGATTGCAGGCTTTTTCAGACCGTCCAGTTTTGAACTTAATAATATAATATTTTCAAGGCCTACAATTTCGAACAAAAACAGTGTAGAAATAAGTAAAAATTTTAAAGGACATGAGCTTGGAAATGGAAAATTTACACGGAAAATATGTGCATAACATTTAACAAGAGAAAATACTTCGCTCAATTGGAGTGATCCTTGTTTTAATGAGGATTAAAAGCTATTTGCGAACGACAGGTAACACCGTTTGTATGGTGGGTAGGTAATACGTACCTAGTTCGTTAACAGCTTATATAATTATTCATGCCGTTTGCTGTCCAAACGCTCAACCCAAGGGATCAGTCTCCGTATTAGAAGACCTTTGCCACATAGATCGTTTTTAGATGCTCAATAATTAATTTATTCATCGTAGTTCTCTGTCTATGATTTCTAACATATTGTCCATTTCAAATTTGTTATAGCATTATGTGACTAGTGTTTTAATTATACCATTATATTATCTGTGATTATACTATGTAGAAATTAAGTATAAAATTGAACATTATTAATTATGAGATATAAGACACGACTTCTTAATCTGTAAGGACAATGCAGTAGGGTCAGTATGGGCATCACATGATGGTGCTGTTCATGTGTCGGTTGCCAATTACCAGCACTACTCCGTCAGCTTGTTTGTTATTACAATTATATTAAAATAAATTAAAATATGGATTCTTCGTTTAATACGTTTTAGAATGACTAATAAACTGACGGCCTAATTAATCAGATGTGAAGAGTAGTGATTGTTGCCTGTAATGAAATATTACATCTATATCCTCATTTTTTTATGAAATATAAATTGACGACCCACCGATAAACTGTAACCGTTGCATGCCGAAACATTACAAAGCAATCTACTTGGCGGCTGAAATACATACTTGTAGATCAGATCAGATTGAGGTACCCATGCAATTGGGTTTTTACAGTCGACGTCTGTAAAAGTCTCTATTATTAGTTATAATCCAAAAAGTTATAACGAAGCAACTGTAGTAATATAGGTACATCTAAAAAATAAGTAATTGAAACTTTATTCCTCTGAGAAACAGGTCGAAAGTTTTTAAACAATGAACCGAACAATACTGACTGTAGGTACTATATACACATATATGTATAATGGAAACCTACCTTTTTTGCTTTTATTTAGAATAATGGCGATCCGTATTTTATCAATTACACTGAGACCTCGGGTGGCCTCTCTTGGCAACAATGACGCTTATACTTATTATTTGCTCATTCTATCAAGAAAAGCGGCCACATCTACTTCGGATATTTATCATTCATCAAATATTTCCTAAGCCGACGATTAATGTATATACAAACTTACATTTTCTATACTAGTACTTATTAATTGAACAACATCAAAAACCCAACACAAGTAAGTATAACTCCAAGTAAAACCCCGTCGCCCTAATAACCCGGTACGTAGCAATCAGTGCCACGGGTTAATGAGAACCACTCTGTTATAGTTGTACCTGAACAGAATAGATTTTATTTCGATTTGCTTTAATATAAAAGAACGCGGGACTAGTGCTGTGTATGTCGTATTTATTTTATCTTAGTTTATGTTCACCAAGAATTATTTAAACCGCAAAGAATATTTCTAGCAACTGATTTAGCCGTTTCCTATTTTTTTATGTAATTTAAATGGTATAAAACCTTGGCCTTAACAGCCTGTTGGTGAACAGTAACCGTCGTATATATACATGAACAGCACTATCCGAGAGGACTAAGATGTCATGCCTCTTATCCTATCTGAATTTTAAGTATCTAATGCGTTACATGTATTATATCAAGTAATAGGTAAGCCTTATAAAATTTCGAATCCCTTTAGATTAAAATCGTTGCCATCGAAAGTTCGTAACTTAAGTAATTAATCTGTGTAGTAAAACCTTACACGAAGCGCAAATTTCTCATTGCAAGATTTTGGAAAATATTTTGAACTTTATTGCAGAGCGATATAGGCTATACTTATATTATTATGTTAAAATATACAAATATCCCAATTTAAAGATCAATGGAGCCGGGGCAGGATACTAGTTATTTATCCATACTAATATTATAAATGCGTGTCTTTCTCTATCTCTTTATATCTAATAAAGAGACCCAGACGGCGACTAAACGACTGAACAGAAATATGAGATGATGATAGATTGTATCACGAGAGCGAACAAGAAAAAAAAGGTGACGAAGTCACAGATAACTACTAGTATATATATCTATGTACGTAGATACATATATGTACTGCGCTCTGCATAATGTTATTGCACTTAATAAAATATGTACAGTACCTCATATATTGGCTCTTATGACCCAATACTTAAATAATGTGAACCAATGCGTCTTCCGTTTTAAAAAATAGTAAGAATTTCACGTGTACTTCTAACTACAAAGAATCATAAGTAGATATCCATCATTTTTAATTATTGGACGTCATAAAGCTTTCTACGTTCTATGGAACAAACAACATTCAGAAGTCTCTGAAAAGCTCGTCTACTTTGTTCTTAGCTACAACAATGAACATGACGAAGTTTCCGTGAATAACAATAAATAAGGTGAAACGCAACCTGCAGAAATACGAATAAAAATAAAACGAAACTACTTAATTCGTTTCGAAATCGTCTAAAAGTACCTACCTAATTGAAATTGGGCTTGACTATAAAGGAGCCAATCCACGTAGGTGATCTGAAGCGGTTTCTTACCCGTAACATGATGTAATTAATACGCGTCCGAATGCCTTCAGGCAATAAACGTTACGGGAAAATTGCTACGATATCCACTACGCCGTGTCAGCCCGTAATACGCCCGCCGTTCTTTATGACTTTTACTTTTTACGGAATTGCTCACCCATTCAATTATTCTCTGAATTTATATATCTACGAGAGTAATATCAAAGCGATTACATTTCCTGATGAACACCATTATTTCTTTCTTTATAGGTACGCATAGGGCTAGTCTTAAAGCGTGGGACAGGCAAGACGAGTTACTAAAAACATATGAAATATTATAGGAAAATAAATTAAAACAAAACAAATTACTAAAAAATTAATACAGCTTTGGCATTACAACCAATACAATAAATAAAAAAATCTCCTATGCTAAACCGAACGCCATTTATTTTTTATTGAATTGAAAATTTAATAACTTTTCTAAACAAACAAAATGGAAAATTACAAAATGCATGAAAAGTACATCATTTATTTTAAGTATTTGGCTTTCGTCTGTACGAATATACAGTATGGTCGAAATTTATTCCAGGGCGTTGCTGCTGATGCTCGAGACCTGTGTTAAATTGTCGGTGACGGCTTAATAAAACATGACGTAAGATAATAATAAATGATGAACACGAATTAAAGATAATTGCCTCACTTTTCAGTTCTTATAATCGAGCGTCATTAACGGTAAAACATTTCGTATCCACTTGTAATAGATAGGCTGTGGTAACCTTCGTATTTTCAATTTTTTTGGCATAAAATTATAAGGTCGAGTCGCAGTCCATATTTACAAGTAACCTAAATTCTGAACCACTCATAAGATTTAATGCCGTTTGTAGACGTACTTACATTTAGGTACAAGATTATTGGAAAAACACTTTTCTAGATTCTAATTGGAAAACTTTTTAGTAGGTGCCTACTCAGTTTCAGATAAGATAATTATCCAAATATAACAGCAAAAACCGTTTTCAGGCTCTTAAGTCTTGTTAAATTTGAAACTTTTATTAGAGTAACAAAACTTAGTTTACAGTTTATAGGCTTAAACTATTTCGATATTTTAATCTGTAAATAAAATATGATAATGAATTTCTGATCTAGATACATTAAAAGTTCGCAGCTAATAAGTTTGCAAAAATGTAAGTCAGTAGGTTTCTTAACTTAAAATTATCGCCGTCAGAAATGGTGCGCGCTGACGAAGGACCAATGAAAAGTATATTATAAGGACAAAGTCAGGTCAGATAGCTCATCGTGTCTCAACACTGTCTAAGTGGTAATCAATCCGAAATGATACATTGTTAGCAATATCACCACTAGTCTCCAATACTAACCATTGCTAAGCTAACCTTGATTTAATTATAGATTTTGAGCCTATCCACCATTAAAGACCAATAGTCTAGTAAGAGCTTACAATACCTTGACCTACGGAGGTATATAATATATTATTATAATGAATTTATATAAAAATTAATGTATTACTCTACGTGAACACACTCGGCACCCGTAAAGGTTGGAACCTCGGAGGAACCCCTTTAAAAATTAATTAAAATTAGCAGGAATGAAATTAAAGACTTAAGTACTTTTTGTTTTTTTTTTGTAATGGCTTGGCAATATGGTGCATTTGCCAACATCAAAGTTTTGGAAACTATAGGACTTGGTATAGGATAATTTGGATTTTGGAATACGGATTAGAGAAGTTAAGGACTTTCAATTACTCAACGTTTTTCTTTTTTTTTCGTTGGTGCTTTTGCCAAAGACAAATTACTCTACGTTGCTATTATGAACAATATCAGTCGGTATCAGTGTCACTGTCAAGTCATTTGACGTAACTGTCAAATATCAATGACACCTACGTCCATCAGAAATGTCAGTCTTGTTTTGTTATTGCAATATTTGACGTTTTGCTATTGCTCTATTGCAGAAAATCTAAACATTATACATTAAATTACAAAAATGTCTTCTCAAATGTCTGCTATAGAACTGCTCAAACTAGGAAACGAAGGAAGACAAAAACCATTTTTAAATGCATACTGGCCACAAATATTGGGAGTTGCATTCGGAGTAGGAGCCGCCGTATCGATAAATTTCGGCACTCGACGTCCACTATTCAGCGGTAATCATTACATAACAAATAACCCATAATAGTGAATTACTGAAACATCCATATATTATAACGTCAATTGAACCTTCCTTATTGTAATGTAATAATCACCACAATAATAATAAATCCACACAAAAAACTAAATAAAATCTAAAGAATGAAAATTCGAAATTTGAGTTTGATTGAGTGTATTCACTGATTTGTTATTCTTCATTTTCATGTCAATGGTAACCTAAAAATGTGCAGACCAGAACTAACAAATATGTATACCATTTGTCTTTTAATGTAGATAATTTGCACAGATTGTGGAAATTATGTTGTCCATAAATTGTCACTATAAAACTTTAGTATATAGTTTTTGTTATAGTTGTTGTTTTGTTTTTCATAAAGACAAACTTTTCTAGACAGTTCTCAGTTGAATTACCATTTCATATGTTGGTGACAACTAACATTCTAGTCCAATGAACTATTTTGCATATTAATTTTGTTGAATTCAATGAGTCTTTCATTTATATTCGCATGGGTGGTATTTTTTTATTAAATTGGACTAAGGCATTTTAATTGTTTTACAAACATACAAAATTACCAATCTTTATGATGGTAGTGTAAATAAAAAATAGCCTATATTTTATTATATATCTATCTTCACATATTTTTTTTACAATTAGATATAACTCATTGCATTAATGTAACTATTAATTAAGTTATAAACTATGCTATCAAACTTCAGACATTCTGCTAAATTTCATTAAAATCGGTTCAATACTTTAGAATCCCATTGTAAAATTTTTATACATTAAGAAGATATCGTGTCTATATATATATAGTATATATACATAAAATACAATCACAACTGGGGTATCCAGAATTATTATCAATTATTGAAATTGAAAAAGAATATTTTCATTGAATATTGGGCTCCTATTATTGTACTTTGTATTGTATCATTTTAAGGTATTCAAAAACATGTCTTACTGGCGGGTGCTACCACTGCATTATTGACATATGTCCAGAAGAAACGAGATGAGTATTATGCAGAGAGAGATGCTGTGTACAGGCATTACATTGAATTACACCCAGAAGACTTCCCAGTACCAGGTGTGTATATCACACAATATTTTTCGTTGGTTTTCTTTATTGCCCATCTAATGGTAAGTGATAACCCTTGCCTATATACATAAACAGCACTATGGATATCACATCATCATGTGAACCCTGCAATAACACATATAATCATGTCAACCTGTAGAGTTCTGTTAGTTTATTAAAAATACCTATTATTATTATAGCTATCTTGTCTGCTTTTTAGTGATAAATAATTTGGCTAAATCTATCCTAATCACAGAATTGATCTTCACATAAAATTTCGTCAAGAATTGTTCAGTTGCTTTATCATGAAAATTTAACAAAGAGATAGGCAAACACTATCAAGCTTATAATATTAAGTATGAATGTCCAAAGTTCAATTGAATTTCTTTCGGTATAAATTAAATATAGAATAAATAGTAGGTAATATGATATACTCTGTAAAAAATGCTGGTCAATGACCTATTTATATTTTTTATTTATTTTACAGAAAGGAGGAAGATTGGAGATCTTCTAGAACCTTGGGTCCCAATTCGTTAATATAAATAATTATTAATAAAACAGTAGAAATAAAATTATGTTAAATTATAGTTTTAATAAATAACTTAAAAACAACTTCATAGTTATTCTTAAACTACATAAAATATATAATATTGTAAAACTTTGCAACAGTATAATAAAGGTATTTATAGTTTCATAAATTATCAAAATGTAACTTTATGTATACACAAGATTTCAATAGTTTTTTTTTCAAATTCACCTCTCTATTTGATGTAACATTATAACTGCACTTTATATACTTACATTAACAGCACAATCAAAGGGAATTAATTACAACAAAGATTACTAATCAGACCATTTATTATGTTAAATATTTCAGCCTAACAGTGATATGAACATCATAAATAATAAATAAGCCAGCCCATAGTGGCACTCAGAATACAGACATCAGCAAGATATTTATTGTCAACTATTATAGGACTATGATACGGTTTTAAATCAGTACTATTTAGAGCACTTTAGCTCCCGACATTCATTTTTTTGTTCACTTGGTTATACTTTGATTTATAAAGCAAGTAATGACTACTTTTCATTATAAATACTCATATTTTGAATTCAATAGAATACTTCAAACATTGCTATGGCCAAGAACAAATGGTGTCAATATTCAGTTCTGTCAATACACTCTGTATTGACAGACTAAACACCTGTACTTAGTTTGAAGATTCTTATTAAGATAGACATGCAAACAAATTAGTCTTTCTTAGATATCAAACATCCTGTCCACAACATACATACAGCGCCATCTTGTTTCAAACTAAGCAGATCTTGCTGCTATTGGTAATCAACAGGTACACATTCAAATACTATTACTAATTAATTCTATTGGTTGTTATAAGGCTTTGGCTGTAATGTATCATACCCTTTATGATACTGCAGATGATGTTGTGCAAGAGCTGCCAGATAATCAAACCCCTCCCCACATACGGCACAATTGTGACTCTCAATTATGTTCTTATTATTAGTGTATGGATGGTGACTATTGTATACATCTTTTATAACTCTATGATCGAAAGGCAGTAGTGTATTATGCTCAGGAAGAATTGGTTGTGGTTTCTCGTTAATCAGTTGTTGTATGTGATGATTGACCTCCTTCGCAGGATTTATAGGCATTGGTATTGGTGGTACTTCCTTCCCTACATCAATTCCAATAATATCTATGTTAGTGTTGTAACCTTCATTACGCACTTTTGAATTTTCATCGATATCGTGCTTTTTCATTTTATGTAATTTCTGAAACAAAAATATAAGTTGAAAGATGTGTGGATAGGGGCGTGCCGCCCGTAGGGACTAAGGTAATAAGGGCACCATATTAATGAACCTGTAGCGCCATTTCTTTGAATTATTTTTGTTACACAACAATGCATTCATTATATTCCATTATAAATAAGGAAATAAGTCTCTGACAATATTTATGTTTAATTATTTTCAGACAGAAAATTGCAGCCATAACTTATAAAATAAAAATTATTTCTATCGAAACACGACGACAATAAAGATGCGCTTCATAGGTCTCATAGACCGGCGTTGCCGGAGGACGACGCGGTTCTGTGTGGCATAAGACAATTTATATAACAGAGAGATTTATTGTATACTAGCTGTTCCCGCGGCTTCGTCCGCGTGGAATTTAACTTTATTTTTCTAAAAAAAATATTTTTTCAAATTAAAAGTAACCTAAGTTACTCTACATACCCTTGAATGAAGAAAAGCTATTAGGCATAGTATAGGACCACCTATACTTATTATTCTTGTAACTGACACCAGTCAGTTAGAAGAAAAATAAAACAAAGCACTTACCAAATCCCGAGAATGTATGTATGCTGAATTACATAGATCACACTTGAAATTCTTAACTCCCCTATGTTTACTCATATGGCGCGTCAATTCACTGGATGTTATAAATGACTTGTTGCACAAGGTACATACCTGCAATATAAAAAAATCATCAATGCTATATATCTGAGCCTATACCTACTATATGTCGAAAATAATGTCACTACATAGTAAAAAACAAAGTCGCTGTCGTTATCTGTCCGTCCCTATGTATGCTAAAATCTTTGAAACTACAGAATGGATTTTGAAGCAGTTTTTTTAATAGATAGAGATTCAAGAATAATATTTATATATATAAAACATGTCTGTCCTGTCTTAATGACAAAAAAGCTGTAAACGTTGTTTATAAGGAGTAGTAGGTAGGTTTGCACCGGTGCGAAGCCGGGGCGGGTCGCTACTATTATATTAACTTACATGATCCCTCTGCCCTGTATGAATTTTCAAATGTGCATGAAGATTACCTTGTGCAGAAAACCTTTTGCTGAAACAAAATTAACATGTTATTTAGTAATTACTCCTCATGGGTAGGGGGTTATTGGTAACGGGGATTGATTACCGATTTGAATTTCTTGTCATTGCTAACAACGGGTGTTAGCAATGACAAGAAGTTCAAATCGGGCAAACATCTATTAAGCATGAATGCATAAAAAACTCCACTCTTGAAATAGTCTTTTTTTTTTTATAACACAGGGACAAACGAGCATGCGGCTCACCTGATGGTAATCACCTGATGGTAAGTGATTACCGCCGCCCATGAGCACCCGCAACACCAGGGGAATTGCAAGTACGTTGTCGGCCTTTTAAAAAGGAATAAGCTCTTTTCTTGAAGGTTTCAGTCTTGAAATTTACTACATACATTAATTAAAATTGCATTTATCTTTACAACATTTTCATACCTATTTATAACATGGTCTTAATTTTAACGTTTTATTTTCTTTACGTATGCTGTCTCGTGTGTGGTGGCCCCACTGAAAATCAGTGCTGTGGTACTACAGTATGCTACAGTAATGCTGAGTGGGAGTCACATTCAGTGTTACTAGTATGTTTTAGCTTTGAAGTTTTATAGTATATAAGAATATGCTGAATAAATATTTTTATTATTAAATAACCAATGTACTAAGATCTCATAATACTCATGTTTCAGATTCAATTATCGCATTCATTGAAAATTTCAACAGTTGTTTACATGTATATTTATTTTTTTAACGTAAGTATTGAAATATTTTAAAAAATAATTACCTGCACACTTCACACTGAAATGGCTTTTCACCAGTATGCACTCGAAGATGTATGGTCAAGTTGTGTTTCTGTGTGAATCGACGTGGACAGTACATACATGTAAATGGTTTATCTCCAGTATGAGTTCTAAAAGAAATATAACATTTTATGAACTATAATTTGTACTATCTCTAAATTACGATACAGGAATATTGTGACTTTTTACTCCCTCCTACTCTTCTTCTTGTTGAAACTGTAACATTTGTGAGTTATGCTCTAAGTTACTCCCTCCTCTCTGGAGGAACTTACATCACAATTTTACATTAATATATTATTAAACAAACGATAGAAAGTTTCGAATTTGTTATATATCCCTTAAAAATATTTTTATTAATAAAATGTACATGATTTTAAAATGTGGTGACACTAAATATAACTGTGACCAAAGTTTATAACAGCACCAGCATCAAAATATCGGAACCTCAGTAATAATATTATGCTAACTATCCCTTTTATATACATTCTGTAAAGAGTATTTTCTTTTAGCTTGCAAATTCTCTGATTACATAGTATACCTCAGGTGTGTTTCTAATTGTGCTTGGCATCTAAATTCTTTATCACATTGGTAACAATTGTGTGTTTGCTTGGGTTTAGGTTTTGGGCCTCGTTTCAATTTCTCCGCCTCAGGCTTCCGTTTGTAATTGGTACTGGTTTTCCTCTGTTGGCCCAATCTACATTTACTAATAATAAAAGTATAAAATGAAATAATTGCATATTATATAAAATATTATGAATATATATTGTCATATATATAATATATATTATATAATATATTATTTTATATAATATAAATATTATATAAAATAATGATGTCACACAATCTTTCCTTTACAATATTTACCATTTCTTTATTACAGTTGTAGGTACCTGAAAACACAATAAACACAGTTTTAATTTCAAAATGTTACACATTTTCTAAAACATAACAAATTAAATAAACATTTTACTAAACAACAACAATTTTCTAACCAAAGTTTAGTCTAAATATAGGAGGAAGTGGAATGGTTGCTGTATCATAATTTAACAGTACATAATTATTACTTACTATAGGATCTGTCATGACCGCTGCATCACTAGATCTGAAAATAATTTGTTTAAAATATTTAAGCACGGAATTTGGAGAGCTTAGATTAGTATGTGTACATACACCATTGGATTGTATTTTAATTTGGAATATTTAATAAACATTATCTTTACATAATACAGCATGGGGTCAAGAAACCCTTGTTGAAGTATATTAAAGTATTTTAAATGTCTGCAATGCACAATTAATACCACAGTATTTTAGTGTCTATAAGCTATGATAACCAATTTACCATACAATACTTGATTGACCACAGTGGTATAAAAAATTTTGAAGTCAGATAATTTACTCTTTTATTTCTTTTCCATGCTTATTTTTACCTTTAATTAAACATTCACATTATTTATATAGGTAACTGTATCTTCGAGTTACATTCTTCATCACCTCGTTGAAACATGAAGATAGGTAAATAAATATTTATCACAGAATTATTTGTTCTAAAGCCTAATTATTATAGTTATGACTGCTCTTTAATTTATTGTAATTTCTGAGAAGGGCAGGAAAAAACTTCATCATCTATCATCAATCTGGTACTGTTTTTAAAAATATATCTATTTGTTATTTTTTCATAACATTTAAAATTCTAAATATTGAAAAGTATGTAATGTTTTGATATTGTATTATATATATGAGTAATGTTTGTTGGTGGTTTATGCATATTATTTGAATGCCAAATTATTATACATATTCTGTATTAGGTTATTCATTAAATAATTTAAATCAACATACTTTTCAGGGATTTGCCGGCCCAGATACTGTCTCAATCTAACATCAGCACTCTCACATGTTTGTTTAAAATGGTACGCTATGCCCAACTTATAAACGCAATTACTACACATCTGTTCTGGTAAACCATCATTTTTGTATATCTGTAAGAAAAACAATAGCGAAATAACAAAAAAGTTCTCATGGTAATCAATTTAAAAAACAATAACACTCGCCTTACTTTCGTATTACAGCAATATTCTATCATATCACACAATGACAAATTAAAATTTTTGGTAAATATTGAAGATAACACTCCTTCTTCTAGACAAATTCTGCAAATTTTATTCATATCTTCAATTTTATAAGAATAGTAAATTTTTCATACCACACCAGTCGTTTATAAAGCAAAATCAAAATAAAATACAAAATTACCCTGTTTGGGTTGCCAACTTCAGAAATTTGTGCCACTTTTTTAAGAAGAAAAAACAATATCGTAAATATAAAGGTGAAACAAAAATTTTAAACCACATAAAATTATATTTATATTTTGACCTGTCGCGAGTAATAATTGTGTAAATATGTAGTGACTCCTAATAATAAAAAAACTCCGGACTTTGTTTTTGCCACTCTTTAGGGCATATTTGTCTTGGCTCATTGTTGTGGATATTTATACAAAAGTAGCCATATACCTACTTTTTCATTTGTTTATTGACATCCGATGTGATTTTACATCTAAGATATTGTTAGAGTGTAGCAATTTAATTCTTATATCTATGTCTAATTGGAATTTACAGTTCTCGTTTTCTTGAATTTTTAATCTTGATTGCATAGGTAATCAATCATTCGTAAAGGAGGTTATTCTCTATCAAAGGACAATTAAAGATGTATTATGAATATCTGCAATATATTTAATAACATCAATCAATTTTAACAATGGTAAATAGTAAACATTAAACTTGATAATATTGGTTATTTATGTATAAACAATTTATGTTAATAAGATAAAATCAAACATTAGCTACTGCTGCTAGCAATTTTACATAAATGTCGATGCCTTTCAAATAAATATCAGCTCGCAAGAACTCATCATGGTCGTGCAGCAAAACTGGTGTAAGGTTCATTGGTGAAAATCCAATAGCCGGTATACCAACTCTACGAATGTATCTGCTGTCAGTACCACCAGGGAATATACGAATATCCAACTTCAGCCCCCTAAAAATATTTAAGTATTCTTGAATTCATAATAAATTGAGTACCGTATTACCACCTGAACCGAGCTACAACAATAGTACAAATATTATTCTGAGGCAATAGTTGGTAATATATTTAATGCCATTAATTTTTGCTATTAGAATGGCCAAATATGTTTTTATTATGAATGTTTCAGTACACACAAATCTGACTGGCTACCTTATTATATTTTAATTCTTTTAAATAACAGACTAAGTTGTTACTAACAATTCATCAGCCGCTTTCTTGAACGCCACCCAGTAAGGATTAGATGCGTCAGTCTTAGTACATTCCACGTTAGGATTTTTTTGTTCAAATTCAAAGGTAACACCGTCACCAGCCTCTTTGCACCATTGTTTCACCTGTAATTGTGTGAATGTAGTTGGATATAACTATTAGATACAAATCAATATGGTATCACACATACCCTGTATTGATATCCTAGAGTCGAAATTTAATAGAGCTGGAAACAATTACGATTCAATATAATGACGATCAAAATAATTTGATTTTTAAAGTCTATTAAATTTTTGTGTATATCTCAAGTACAGATAAGAAAATATTACATAATGAGATGTCTTCGCTAACTGAAACTTTTGATGTATAATTTTGTAATCAATAGGATTTACTTCCGTATTTATATATCCTTCATTAATTTATCTACAAAATTTACTAGCTATATTTTATATGAGTATATTTAAAGTTAGTACAATGTAAGTAATTTCTTTATAATTCTTTATAAGAAACAAAACGATCCTGCACCTGATTTTCAAATTCAATCTGGTTGACAGTCACCGCCAATCTTATATCGAAAACAGCAGTAAGTTTTTCAGGTATCACGTTTGATTGTACACCACCCTGCAAAATAATACACATTGCTTCAAAATTCTATGACAACTAAAAAAAATCTGTTTGTTGCCTACTACATACATAACTTACCATATTGTTTTTATTCCTTTTGGCATTTTTATTCCCTTAATGAACAGACTTGTAAAATAATGATTAGGTACTTACTTATTACATTTTTAACACGGTTAAGAGTATTAAAATTATACACAAGAACATACCTAGCATAGGTATATTGTTGTGTATAATTTTTTTATCTTTGATACTTACATAAATTTGAGTCAAGTTCACTGTAGTTACGTCGCCAATAGTCAATGCGGAATCACTCTGCAAAATGTTGTTCTGCTGCTCTCTCAAATCCATGAATTTGTTTATAATATAACGCAGCTAAAAATCAAAAGCATCAGTAATGAATAAGCGTACATTGTACATATTTATTTAGAATTTATAGTGGTATAAATTATATAAAAAAATAGACACTTGATGGCATTGAAGATAACAGATAAGATATCATAAATAAGAAGAACCGACAAATTTGAGAACGTACCTTTTCCCCTGCAGTGTTAGGAATTAATAATGAACCATGCCCAGGTGGACCGGTACAGTTCACATGGATTTCTAAAAATTAAATTAAATAAGATTTATTAAAATTACGTATTCAGTTACCAGAAAAATATATTGTCTTCGTAGGTCTTCCAAAGAAAGCTCCTATATAACTTTCACATCACATTACATATATATTCTATGCACAATTGTTAAAATAACAATAATATAAGACATCATTTACGAGTTAATTAAGAAAATTCACTTGTAAATTATATATATCCTAGCTAGTAAACATTTAAAACGTACAAAAATAACTACGAATCCGATGAAATACTTACGCCAAATGCTTCTTTCTCCATTGAAAATAATGAATTCTTCGGTAGGATTTGCCATGCCCTCGTCTAGCGCAAACCCAATATTCAGAGACTTAAAATCGTTAGTCAATACAAATTTCTTCATTCCGTCAAGACCACCGATCTCCTCATCTGTTTGCAATTTAGAACTTTGTGAAATATTTGCAATAAACTCGTCCTCGTGAAATTTTATGAGACTCGTCTAAGCAACACAATTATGCATATTTGAGCTGTGAGTAAAAAAGCGTACTTAATATTACCCGCTGTGCTTTTTGTTAAGAATTCATTACCAATACATTCGGAAAAGAGTCATAAAACTGAGTCACACAAAATAACTATTAGAAAAACGAGAACATAGTGTTTACCTGGAACAAAGGAAATGTGCAAGGTCCTCTTCAGCTGTACCCCTGATTGTTTTAAGACCCGAATAGCCTCAAGATACTGTATACCAACACATTTCATATCTTGGGAACCGCGAGCAAAAATTTTTCCATCGTCATCAATATGTGCACTAAATGGAGGATAAGACCAGCTATTCTAAAGCACAAAATAAGATAATTAGTATACATATTAATTAGTATCGAATAGTAAAATGTTAAAGAACATAAAATATAATTTACTATACCACAAATGATTAAGTTCATCAGATAAATTACGAAGTTCATTCAATAACACATAATAAGGCCCACACATAATAAGAACCAAAACACCATTTAATGGCGAAACTAAATTAAATTTAATTGCAGTTTTAATTAGTTAATAATATTTTTTCTAAAAAACTTAGGGTTCATCATTTCAAAATTTGATCTAGCAATATTTTAAAGAATTATGTTGGGCTAAAAAGGACTTGTATCCAGAGCCGTAAAATATTAATAAATAAATAAAAAACAGAGCCCTAAAATATTAATAATAAAAAAACATTTATTGTTCTGTTTATTTAATTGGGCAAGGCAAAGGAACTGTGCCCATATTGCAATCTATTTGAATACTTAATATAATATTGCAGTTGACATCACCATATTCCTCAAAAATGGGAGACTTTATAACGACGGGAATATTAAGGGATAATCCTTTTGGGATTAGTAGTTAGAGAGAGGGATAATAAGACAGTTATCACTTACTTCAAACACAGGCACCACATCCATGTGTGAATTCAACAGTACAGACTGTAACGAAGGATCCTTGCCTAGCCATGTCAACACGACTATAGGTTTTCGGGGTACCACTTCGTAAATTTTCACTGACAAACCAATTTCTTTGGCTTGTCGTTGTAGAAATGCTACGCACGCATCTATGAACAAAAAATAGTGTATAATTTAATACGCAAAAATCTATAATATATTATTATTCATTCATTAAATAAAAATAAATGTAAATAAATGATAAATGGTATTTAGGTGCGTCAAGTTATTAGATTATAATCATCAAGTTATAGTTGAGTACTACCTATTTTTTACGTAGGTACCATATATTTCACAAAGAATAAGCAGTAGTAATAACAACCAAGAAAAATCACACACCATCTAGCCCCAAACTAAACTAAGCTTGTAAGAACTGATAGAAACACTTAAATAGATTTTTTGTATACGTAATATACATAGATGACAATCGTACTCATGCGTACAAATATTTGTATCGTGCATAGAATCGAACCTTCAAGAATCAGAAGTAAGCACCGTTGTGCTAAACCATTAGACAAACGAGACCAACGAATAGACATGATAACTTATTTTTAAAAAACACTCACATGTTCAATTACATTCTGTTTGTTTTTGTAAATAATTGGTGAACTGTGTTGTGATACACGTATAATATACGGAATTTATATGCGAACATGTATCAAAAAACGACGATTAAAAAGAACAGTTCTAAAAATATAAAATATATCAAAAAAGTTAATGGCGACCAGTCGCCAACGTCAGTTCACATTTTCACGACAAAACGGCTATACAAACATCAATGAAATTTAAGATGTAGAAAGATTGTATTACAAGACCGGATCTTTTATGCTAAAAGCAGACAAAGTCGGAGCTAGTAGTAAGTTTCTCTATAGTTAGTTGCAGTGGAATTCGCAAGAATTCACGATATAAATCTAGCAATTCTAGTTTATTGACGTACGTGTTGCAATTGTGAGTAGGTACTGGATCTACCCACTGTCTTTCAATGATTCAATTCACTATATCCTCATTACGTGAACACGCGAACTGAATATAGGGCACCCCTTGGGAAAAGGAACTACTTATACCATACTGCATATGTATTCATTTTATTTTATTTAATGTACCTACGTATTTATATTATTAACTGTAAAGCTTAGCAACCACTTACATACTATTATACTTACCGAATGATATTAATTTATTCAATGTTCTATGTATTTGTATCTAAATATCGACAAACCAACTGTAAAACTACTAAATTTACACTGTCCAGAATTATGTTTGAAAAACTACATATAACTTTTTAGAGTATAGCCAATTTTTGTTATCCAATCTTTAAAATACTTTTACATAATTTCATTAATTTTTCAATAAGTATTTCGTGTCTTGTAAAAAGTTATTGCATCTTTCGTATCTACTAATAATATTTTATATTATAAAAATATAATATGTTTTTGCTTAAGATAATCCTAAGCAAAAAAAATATTATTCAATTCTTATTTTATTAAATCGAATACAATTTAAAGGTTTTGTGTGAATAAAAAAATGACATCCCTATATGTACCTACCTATAAATAATCAGGAACCTCAAAACAATAGCTATCAAGGGAAAATCAATTATTTTGTACTTAAATGTCTACCCTGTAAGGGATCTGGCGCGATAATAGACACAAATATTATGTAAATGTAGAAGCTATTTTTTTGTACTTCATCTAGGTATTGTGTGTTGCACAAAATTAACAAAAAATAAATAAAAAAAGTAAAATTGTAAATTTTACTTTTTTTACTTCAACTGTAATATTATCTTATCTGTGCTAAAAAGTAAAAGTTGAGGTTAAAGTTTCCCAATTTAGTAGAATATACCTATAGTATGTAATATTATTATTATGTTATCTGTGCCTATAGAGAACATAAGACAAGTCATAGACACGTATACATATAAGTAGTTCATTAAAAATTAATTATTATGTCAATAGGCAAGGATATATAAAAAGTAAACATCATTACCTAACTGCTTATTTACATTCAGATACAATTGCGTGTAATTTATACTTGTAGATATAACGAACTACCTAAATGAATAGCCTCGGTGGCTCATTGGTTTAGCACACTGCCTTACTTCCAATGATTGCCAGTTCGATTTCTAATATGTACAACACAAACATTTGTATACATGAGTATGATTGTTTGTAATGGCCCGACCATTACAAACAATCATATGTTTTTTTCTATGTACATATATTATGTATCAGGGATGTTAGGGAGCTCCGTAATCGTAACCAAAACTATATCCGATATTAAAAAATATTCGCAACCGTAACCGAATCCGAAATAAAAGATTCGGATAATATCGGATAGGGGCCGAGCCTAATTGAGACTCGATGTGTAAACATTTTATTAGCTATTTGTATTTTACTTTTAAAATTCCTTAAAAAATTAATATCCGAAACCGAAATTATCCGAAAATAACGGATAAACCGAAATAATTTCATATCCGCATCCATACGGATCCGTTATAATATTCATTCCTATATCTGAAACCTATCGGTATCCGAAATTTCATATCCATAATAGTCCTGTTAATTTATGTATGTATGATATATATGTTGTCTAATACCTAAAAAACAAGCTCTGCTTTACACTGTTGCTCTAAGATGTTATTATCATTAAAAACAATGAAAAAAGTAGCGAAACAAATTGTTTTTTTATTAGTATTCATAGTACAAACAATGGATAATAATATGTTTTATGAATTCAAAAGTGTGTCTGTCTGTTTGTTACGTTTTCTCGAATAAAAATATAGATTGTATCACTAAGATGGACATAGGCTTATATCTTAAAAACAGACAAAGTAACAGCAAGTACAATATATACTTTGAATAGATACTACTCTTGCATGCGTAAGATTAATAAATGATAAAAAGGTTTTCATTTATAAGCTAAAGTAATAATCAGAAAGACATTGAATTAAATATTTAAACTGTCATTTATCAGTAGTTTAATTAAATAAAAATAATTACCATAATTTATATCGGGCTGGACACTGGGTATCTTCAAATATTCAACGAAATTCGCAACAGATGCAATGTTTCCATATTTAGCCGCCATTGGGGATCCAAGATACAGTTCGTAACCGGCCGGTAACCACAGTAGGAATGACTTGCAAGCGGCAAGCGGCAGACCTAACGTAGATTTGATAAGAGTCTGTAAACATATAATAAAATATGATACCAATTGCAAACATAGTTCAATGTAGAGTGATAGTTTGGTTAAGAGGAGTGTGTCCACGGAATAAAACTACCATGTAGGTATTCTTCAGTATTCATTTTACCTCTATTCAAAGACATTGCATATCACCTCAACCAAGCGCGATAGCAGTATAGTTTGGTTGAGAGGAGTATGTCCATGTCCACGCAATAACACTACCATGTATATAGGTATTCTTCAGTATTCGTTCTATGTCTATACAAAGACCTCGCGTATCCCCTCACCCAATCGCGATAGCAAAGAACAGGAGTGTGTCCACGCAATCATATTACCATGTAGGTATTCTTCAGTATTCGTTCTATGTCTATACAAAGACCTCGCGTATCCCCTCACCCAATCGCGATAGCATTGTAGTTTGGTTAAGAGGAGTGTGTCCACGCAATAAAACTACCATGTAGGTATTCTTCAGTGTTCATTCTACTTGTATACAAAGACCTTGCGTATCCCCTCACCCAAGTGTGATAGCATTAGTTTGGTTAAGAGGAGTATGTCCACGCAGTAAACTGCCATATTGGTATTCTACAGTATTCGTTCTATCTATTCAAAGACCTTGCGTATACCACGCTTGGATGTGGGGATACCCCTCACCCAAGCGTGATAGCATTAGTATCGGGCGAAATTTTGCCGAAATTTAAGTTCCGCTCATTACATAAATATAAAGTTTTTTTTTGTTATTTAGAACATTCATTATAATAACTATGTTTTGAAATATTTATACTTTTTTAATTGTTCATGAGCTACTAATGAGTTAAAAATTTCCTTTTTGGCGAAAATCGAGTATTTCAATTAAGTGTATTAGACACCCGCGCTAGAGTCGTCTGCTCTATTTGCTTTCTACTCGTATAATGCCTTTTTTGTCCAAGTCACTGTTTATAGGCGACCATCTTGTGCCCCACTACTCTCGAAAAATCGGAAGTGACACACGTATAATTCTAAAACCAACTAATGTGAAACTTTGATGTTGGTTGCCATATCCTATGGAGAAAAAATTATGGATTTTACTTAGTTATTGTAAAAACTCGGGTAGGGTCTGGAATGCAGTCTTAAGATTGAAAATGTTTTTGTACCTGAAGTTAGAAACATAAAGTTTAGGTGTGCATTAATAGATTAGTCAGAAATAATAATATTCCTGAACCATTCACATGGCCCCATCTAGTCCCTTGGTAAGCAGAGCTGGTTTTATGGGTACTCGACAATTGATATTTTGATACTTTGATTCTGTAAATATATGCATAATATACATAGAAAACACCCAGACCGATACACGATACATTCCCAAATACAGATGTTTGTACCATACGGGAATTTGCGGGAATCGAATCCGCAACGATCGGAAATAAAATATTATGCTAAAACGGTATATCTTTGAGCGATTGATTTTATAAATAAGTGAATAACGGGAAACTGTTATTCATTTATTTGGAAAATAAATTAGAATTTAATTTAATTTAATTTAATTTAAAAAGAATAGGTATTATTAGTTTTTATTATTAACTAGTTAATCTTTATTACATCAGCTACCTACCAAAAAAAGTCACATCAAAATCGGTCAAGCCATTTCAAAGATTAGCTGGAACAAACAGACAGACAAAAATTGTAAAAAAAAATATTTTGGTGTATGTATCGTATTTATATTCATATGCATGTAGTATAACGGCTATTACAATATTACAAACAGACACTCCAATTTTATTTATATGTATAGATAAATTCAATTATACACCTATTACAACCGAGACGAGGTAAGTAAATCCGTTAGGATATTGGTGTTCTGTGAGGTAAATCTTGTTATGAGCGACATCTAGTTTTTCTCATATGAAATGAAAGTTTACTAGGTCGAGTGATATTAACAGTTATAAATTGCGTAGGGAGTTTTACCCACCTGCGCTGTACTGCCCGAGCGACAAATAATTGTTTTTTTTAATATATTTTATTATTACAATAGTTATCTAACTAAGAATAATTAAATGAATACAACACATTGTATACAAAAACAAAAGTGAAGTTTTCCACAGGCTACATAACAAAGTCATCACAGACTATTTATATTTAACAAATAGTAGCAACAATTCATTTATATACTGGCAATATATGTCAATGGGACAGAGTCTTTATCGCGACGTTTCATGTTAATCCATTTCGCAAGTTTCTTGATAAATAAAAAATAATGTTTATAATGGATGTTCTTGGAAAACAATAAAAGAGCTTTAAAGTTTATGTATAAAGTGCACATTTCAATTAAATGTGTAATTATATTGGTTTGTCAAAAAAAACTAAGTCTCTACTTCAATTTATATTCTGTGGTTAAAAATCTGTACTCTTCCAGGACTACAAAAATGGAAAAAAAAATTGGTTATGTTAGTTTTGTTTGATGTTTGACTTTAAGTCATCAATTACTTACGGTTAATGTTACAAATTTTAAAAACATTTATGTTAAATAAATAACTAAATAACTAGCATACTGCAACCTACTCTTTAGGCTTATGTTAATTGATCACAAAATGGAATATACTTATCATAAAATAACTTCAGAGTTAGATGCTAGAGAAATATTACGTTATCTTAACAATTTAGGTATCCACAATATTAACGGCGAAGTTCTTAAATACTTTATTACAGGTAATACTATTTTTGTATGTTTATGTCTAATATGTCGTACCTTGTAAATACATGCACTTGGTAATTCCACCTGCTTGCTTGCTGTTTCGTGGTTACAAAATGTAACGCACAAGCTGCTGTGAAATTATTGGCTCATGCCAATTCCAAGCCTATGGAGTCAATGCAACAATGTTTTTAATGTAAGATGACCAGTTATAATTATAGATTATGAATCATAAATTTATTTATTATTTTATTTCAGACTTAAAAAAGTTAATTAAATATGATCTACAGCAAAAAGAAAATTCAAACTCTCAAAGTAAATATGAAGTAGCAGGTCCTGAGCGACTACACAGTGCCAGTACATTTTCATCACGAAGCAGGAGTAAAACTAATGAAGGATTAACAACATGCACTAGAGACTGTGTACAGAAGAGACAACAACATATTAGAAATGTATATTCAGCCCCAAGTTTACGCCAGGACAGAGTAGAGAATGTAGAGAAACCTTTAAGACGAGCATGCTCTTGTATCAGGGAAGAGAAGAAAATAAATGTAGTGTCAAAAGATAAAATACCATTAAGTTCTAATAATTGTAAGTGACTACAAAATTGTTCTTTTCATGAATGCATACAGTCTGTTTACTGGTTGTAGGCATATAAATATCTTAGTAAATATAATAATAGAAATTTCATGTAATTATTTATTTAAAATTAGATGCACAAATACAATATATAAATGTACATATGGTGAACTTGACACCTAAGGGGGTTCTCTACCAGTCACAGAACTTAGTATATATATATGAAAAATTATGTAACAAACAAATTGTTTTAAATGATTCTTTAATTTTTTTCAATGATAATAATTAACATATATTTTTGTCATGTTACTGGTACTTATTAATTTGACTAAAAATGATATATTTTAATTTCTAGTGATCAAAGTACCAAAACAACCAGTTAAGAAAAAATGTGATCCTGTTTCATTGTATCATTATTATTCATCTTTATGGGAAAAATACAAACCAAATGTGCCTGGAGAAAATGATTGGTCTGAACTGAGGTGGAGTGTGCGACAGAAGATGGCTGGAGACTTCAAGCAGCAACCTGAGAAAAAAGTATGTATATTATATTTATATCCTAACAATAAGTATTTTTTTGGTTTTAGAATGACTATTGTTATTAGAGTACTAGTGGACTCAACCTACCATTGTATTGCTAAATGATTATATTCTTGTAAAAATTACATTGCCAATTTTTAATGCATTAGAGGGGAGATTAATTAGTTTTGGTGATTATAATGCTAATATTACTGTACAGAGGAAGGGGATTGTTACTAATGTGGACTAAAACCCCCATTGCTAGCAGTGTACCATGTCAAATTGACCTCCACACAGTTGCCCTGAAAATCATAATTATCACTATGGTTTTCGGGCGATTTAATGGTGATTTACCACTAACTGACCTACCCTTATGTTCATCCTATCATCCATCACTGGTGCCACACCAGCATAAACTGTTAGCACTGGCGGGTGCAACATTTCATCATCATCCATAAGAAAAAATAAATTTCTGTAGTAAATATCTGGTAATCTAGTTACTAAAGGACTAAGCTTGGAAGTAATTTTTATTATGATTGCAGGTCTGTACTAAGAAGAGACGAAAAGAAGACCCATCTATGAAGAATGTACAATGATTAATTACATTAAGTGATTTGGACAAATAAAATCAGTTACATTAACATACTGTGTACATTATACAGGGTATTCTCTAATTGTGAATAAATAATATTTTTCAATAAGTCTACATATTTTTTATTTTAAAATTAAAGTATAACTATTTACAGTACTAATGTTACACATTTTAAACTTGATCTAGTCTGAATTTAGCTTCTTGTTGTTGGGTATCAGAATGGAGGTGATGTAAAATCCTCTCCTCTATTTTCTCTGCAGCTGCTACTGTGAGGATCAATGTGTCATGTTTTAGCATAGAGTATACATTCAATCCATACACGGGCATAATATTTACATGCTGTATAGCATCTGCAGCCACTGTTAAGTTCCGAGGTGCAAAATCTGTACTGAAATTTAAAATTAGAAATAAGTTAAGAGTTTTACAAAAAACAAATATAATTTAGAATGGTGGATTTTTAATAATGTTAGTGTAAAATTCTCATTCTATATAATTAAAGCTGAAATTAAAATTAATTTATCTTTATAACTGTAATTAAATTAAATTATATTTATAGTCTAATCAATGTCTATCCAGTAAAGTTCAATTTTAATGGTTTACTTCTAATGTGGAACACATGCATTACCCATGTGTATAGCTTCTGTTAATATATCAGGTTATTGATTATTAACTATAGCAAACACATTGACAGCCACACTGAAGTTACAACCTAAAGAGTAGTGTTTATAGTCTCATTTCTTTGAAATTCTAATTGAAATTTAAATTAGTCTAAATCCTACTGTATTAAAATAAATTCTAACTCTAAACTAATACATACTCATCAACTATCAGAACAGATGGACCCCAATTTCTCTTCTCTATCAGTTCATTTAAATATTCAGGCTCATCTGTAGGGAGTTCTAAATTTTTAACAACATGTAAATCATCTTGTGCCAGTTTTGATGATAATGTTGATGTTAATCCATATATCCGGAGATGGAATGGCAACATGAAGAAATGGGTTTTACCAGAACGTGGGCCATGAGCGATGCCACCACCCCGCCAAAGCGGAGACCTAATGGATCCATGTCGGGCACGACCCAGTCCCTTCTGGGGCCATGGTTTCCTGCCTCCACCTCGAACTTCTGCTCGGGTTTTGGTATGAGCCCACGAAACCCATCTATATTTCTTCTGCCATGTTACGTTTTGGTGTATTATGTCAATCCTTGGCATATCAGCGTAAACCTGTGGATGCAGCTCGAATAAACCTACTTTTTTCTCTTCAATTGTATCTATATTTTCGATCCATACTTCTCGAGGTTTAGTATAAGTGGGCGGGAATTTCCAATCTTTCTTTGTAATGAGTAAAGAACTACTATCATTTGTTAATGTATTCGAGGGAACAGCTCTAATCTGAGGAAGTAATGAAATATTTAACCTTTTCATAGCATTAGTTAATATGGAAGCCATTATGCACATAAAAATTATTGATTTACGCTTTGTATAATGTAAACCGTCTCATTAATTAAACATTAACTTTTATTATTGAAACAATAAATAAATAACATTATTTTACAGAAGAATGAATAGGTTATGTTTTTTTTTTATTAATATATTTTATGGCTCTGGATACAATTAAATATAAACTTGACCTTAGATGGTGGTTGTTAATAATCTTATTATTATTAATTATTTATTATAAATGCAAAAGTTTGTAATTATAGATATTTGTTATTCGTTCACGCAAAAACTTCTGAACGGATTTTGTTGAAACTTTACAGTATTATAGCTTATGCATCAAAGTCATACATGGGCTATATTTTTAATTGAAATTTAACAGGGTAAAACCGCGGGCACAACAAGTAATAAATAAAAGGTATTGCAATGGTACTAAATAACGTAGAAAGAGAAAGCTAAATATGAACCTGGGATATTAATTTAAATATTACGTGAATGGAAGGTAAGTACACTAAAGCATATAATGAAAAATATTCTTATTACAAATATAGTAGACAGACTTAATTTGAAAAACATGTTACAAGTGAAATTAAATAAAACACAGACTGAAATGAACAAATTAGACGTGTTTGTTTATGTTATAATACATTGGCGCCATCTACAAAAATTAATATTTTTTTCTTCTTTTGATTATTCGTTTTGTTCAATAAATCATTAATTTCAGTTCTGTTAAATTAATAATTAGTGTAGGTACTTTTAACTTAAAGCGATTTATAAACTAAACACATAGCGATTTAAAAAGTTTTTTAACCAATATTTGTTTTATTAGGTATGTATAAATTTATTGCCCGCATCCTAGATTTATCGACGACCTCTTTTGTCCCGCACACCGCACCGCCTTATAGATTACTGGTTGCGAGTTCAATTACGGCCACGATACATATGTATCCATGAGTATAATTGTTTGTATTGGTCTGAGTGTTATACGTCAGTATCGATAACACAAGCTTTTTTTAACTTGGGACTAGATGGCGCTGTATGAATGGTTCAGGATAATATAACAAAAGATATTTTTTAGTGTATTGACTATGTATTTGCCTATTGGGAATACTAAATATGGATATAGAAATAATAATACAATGTAACTCGTATTATAGTTATATTTTTTTATTAAACTAAAATTCGTTCCAAAACACGTCTCATCGCAACTGGACTGTCAAGTGGCACCTGAAATAGGCGAAAATATATTTCAAATATTAAAGATTACAGAATTAAAACTAAAGAACAATCTTCATGTCTATCTTATTGATATTTAATACCGACACTTTACAATCAACCGACAATATTGATATGGACTAGGTATATACAAACCTCTGTCTCACATATTTCTGCTGCCTTGTTCGTATGTTGTGTTTCGGTTGATATGGCAGACATAAAAGGACTCTTTCTCATTTCAGATTCGGAAGCCTAACACAAGTTCGTTAAAACTTCTTAGGCTATCAGTTAGGCAGTGTATGCCTATATGTATTTGTAACTTTCTACATATTCACATACAATTTTTTTGTATTCGTTTAAAACTATATTCTTCTGGCTGATCCGCGCAATATAGTCTACATATTTTTTCCCCGTTTGTGCAATATTTTTTCAGGTTTTGGTAGATCGCTTCTTTAGTTTTTAAGGTCATGTCATATAGCCTATATCCTTTTTCGAAAAACGGGCTATCCAGCACTAAAACAATTTTCTAAATCGGATCAGTAGTATCCGAGATTGGTCCGAACATCTAACTCACAAACTTTACCTCTTGATAATATTAGTATAGATAGAAAATGAACATACTGTTAGTCCTGCAGCGTTCAGCCAATAAAATTGAAGTCTTGGTGACTCCCTGAAGTAACCCTCCACAAGTCCATTTACAATAAGAGTTCTTCGTGGACTGCTAAGAAATTCTTCACTGCCAGCCCATTGGAGTTTCTCAACCCATTCTAGCTGACCTAAAAATAATTTGATTGCGTGTGTAAATATATTGTTGTGGCTATTTTGGTTATTAACATAATCCTTGATGGAATAAGCAGAGTTTGTAAATATATGAAAAAATAACCGTTAATGAAATTATGGCATTGTGTGCGATATCTAGTTAAAAAACCAGGCAGACACAGAGTAATAACAGTATAATCTTCAGATACATACCAGGGGTGGTCGATACGGCGTCCAAGTTACCATTGTATATAGTAACTGTACAGTCTGTATTCTGGAGAACGTTTTGAACTGAAATTTGTAAAAAATAATACTTTGATGAATCTATGTGACAGCAATATCAATAGTTCACTATTAATATTCATACAATAAATGAAAGAAGTATACACTTAAACTTTCCTCAATAATTACTCTATTATGATCGATGAAAACCGCCTGAAAGTTCGTTAACTTTTTCAGATTATCGCGAACTTACAGATAGTCTCGGCGAAGGGAGGTTCTTCATAAGGAGGAACTTCATTTTATATAATGACTAGCTTTTACCGCGGTTTCGCTTGCATAACTTCATTACTGGCTGCTAGATGGCGCTGAAGTAGCAAAATTTTAACTTTTGGTTTTTTATAAAAATATTTGTTTTTTTAATAAAAAGTATCCTATGTTCATTTTAATAGCTCCAAGAACATGTGTATAGAATTTCATGATAATCGGTTCAGTAGTTTTTGCGAAAAAGCGTAACAAACATACCTACTTTCACATTTATAATATTAAGGATGTCTTAAATTAATTAAAAATAAGAATATATACTTAAATACGTTAATAAGTTTTTTTTTGTAAAAAAAATCTAGACTGACACGATCATATTATAGCGGTTTAACTTATTTCTATGTATAATAGAAAAGTAGCGCCATAGGTCGGGCTACCGCCTTATCAAGTATTTTCAGTTTGAAAATAAGTTACAACTAAAAATATTATATACCTAAGTCATCAGCTGGCAACATAAAGACATCCCGGAAAGCTTCAACGACGGCTCCTCGGCCCTGGTCATAAGTGTAGTTACTTGGAAGGCCAAGCGCCGGTGCAACTGTATCATCCATGAAGTCGAAGACGTCGACGCGAGAATGTAACTCATCTTGTATATATTTTCGCAGTCCAAAGTCTGAAACTAAATATGAAGAAATTCATAAAACATTAATAAGAATTTTAAATGTAATGCTTACATTGTACATGTATAAATGTAAAATGCTTAGATACATTTTTTATACCACGATGGTGATAAACATACATACATTATCATGGCGAACGGCACTAAACGGTTACCGTAGTCTATTGACGCCTATTTTACTGAATATTTATAGATAGGTAATTTATACGTTACTTAATGTTAATTAAAATAAACAATATAACAAACCAATATCCTTCACCTAAGAATATTGTTTTCATACTATTGTACGAATTCAGTAGGTAATTGATCTACAAAATCCCACACGCCTATTTACTGTGTATGTAAATTTTTTAATAAATGAATACAATTATGAGGTTATTGAGCGGAATGCGAAACGCGGACCAATTTTAGAGCTCAGAACGCACTCTCATCAGAATATACTCCTCTTCCTCCTTGACTGATCATCTTTTACCTAAAACTCAACAAAATTCCGGTCGGTCAAGATAGAGTTTTTAAGAATAAATGCGCTCCGCTCATGTGACCTGGTGTGTAAACATCTCATCGGCAACAAAGCTACATATATACAGGATAACTTACCAGCAGTCGATTCTTGGGTGAGTTTATCTACAATGCGGGCTAAGTTAACGGCTACAGCTCCAGCTTCCTTATTGACTACTTCATCTAATGTTAAGAATTTATCAAATGCTTCTCCATACTTTTCATCCTCAACCAACTTGTTAGTTTCCTCGGCAAATGATTCTAATGCGTCACGTCCGAAGTTGTCAACATAGGCAAGCTCTTCAAGGTAAAAACCTAGTTTAGTAAGTGCCACTGTTGGAGCAATGATTCCATTGCCAATGACGACACCTTTCAAATTGTGTCTGAATGACGCTTCCTAAAAGAAATCACTTTTAATAAAAAGTACGTCAAAATATTGATAAATGTAACCTTATATGCAGTAATATAGGTACCTACTACCAACGAACAAACACAAACGTAATGTAATGTTAAAGTTTAAGAAAGAGGTTTTTTTTAATAATAATGGAATTGCTATGGCAAAATTGCGTTAACAGTTGACGCTGGTGGAGCTCCAGTGGCGGATGATGAGCATGAGATCAGTTTGCCTATCGTGATAATGGTTTCCACGGAGAACCGCGTGGAGGTCAACCTAACATGGTATATTTTTCGCTCTGGTGTCATCATTTCACATTACTAACAATCCCCTTCTGCCTAATCTAGAAGGAGAGCCGATATTATAGCTATATGTTGTAGATTGTAGTTATATGATCCGTCATACTCGTGAACGGGTGCTGTTTGTAGGGACTGGTCAGGTCTGGTTACGGCCACTGATTAGACTATTTTCTTTTGACAAAATTGTAATAGCATATGCTGGCGGTCACTATTCTCCCCAAATTGAATTTTAAAATGAAACTATTATTGTAAATATATACAATCTCGTTTGAAAAGAATAAAAGCTAAATTTCTTGGCAGTTCTTCTTAGCTCGAATGCACTCCGAACTGGCGGTAGATTTTGACATATCATAAGAGTCTGTAATAGACCTACAGAAATAAATATATTTTGATTTGATTATACCGAGATCAATTTAATTAGACCAAGATAATGTAATCTTGGTTAATTCAATATAATATTTCTTAACTTTAATTCAATTTTAAAGTACATAATACCTAAATAAACTGCGTTAATAAATCGTTATATAAAGAGATATTTAACAAAATTAAAATTTTAAAACTGAATGTCTCCAAACTTCATATTAATAGCTAAATGGGTTTTTTCTAGCTATTACCAGAAATGAAAACGTATTTTATATTCTAATACTTTATTTGTACGTCTTAACACAACTGTGGCCAAGACAAGAATGAATAATTATCTCTAAATATCGTTTACAGATCAGTTTTGTACCCTCACTATTTTTATAAAAATTATGAAACTAACTCGGTCGATATCAATAACATTACTTCTATTTATAATTAAACAATTCATTATTAATCGGCATATAAGATCATCTCAACATTCAATTATTATAAATATATCTGCTATACAGCTCTATATATTTATTATCGTAACTATTATAATCTAACATTCGGCCATTCTGATAAAAAGAGTTCCTCAAACTTATTTGTATTTATATAAATCAATAATCATATAAGTATACTGTAAACAAAAACATTGATTAGTAATAACTACCCAAACAACTGAAGACACTCAAAGTCTAGTTATTTTCGCACATCATTCATCATATCACACATAGCTACTTCAGTCTGCAGCGGACCCCTCATCGCGGAGTCAAGAGTTAAGTTCACTACAGGATTCCGCAACCGTGTCACGCCTTCCAGATTTCAGTATCAACACATATGATCATCTGCAGCGGGCCCCTCATCGTAGAGTCAAGAGTTAACTACAGTCAGTAACTATAGTTCGCTACAGGACTCCACGACCGTGCTTCGCATTCCAGATTCACAGAACATACAACCTGCAGTGGATCCCTCATCGAGAGTCAAGAGTATTTCTTTACTGCAGGACTCAGCGATCGTATCTCACATTCCAGATTCCAGTATGTACCACACAAATATCAAAATCTGTAGCGGACCCCTCATCACAAAGTCAAGAGTTTCTTTTCACTACAAGACTTCATGACCGTGACACGCATTCCAGATTATCAACAAATTACTTTCCATAAATTATTTATTCTCCATCAATATTACATTTATTCATAATAATGTTAAATCTTTACTAAACTATAACATACAATGTATCACTTCAATTATTCATTTGTTATAAATCAAGTACCAAGTTTATCTTCATCACAAGTTTAAGACATCTATAAATTCACAAATCTTAATCTATACAATCAATAAATTCTACAGTGCTTATACATATATATCTTATACTATATCAACCTATATAATTCTAATAAATGATTCACTTTCAATATCTATTAATTTGTTATCGTAAATCACATGGTACAATTAACTTTAAACAAATGTAAAACCAAATACATAGTAATTATCATCTTACGCTAAGCCCTCTCCACCATCTGAAGAATTGCTATCACTATTTGCCGCGACAGTAATCCAAGGTTGTATACGGTCTACTGACCAGACATTAGTATATTTACCTCGAGAGACATGAGAACCCGGAATACTAGATATTTCGTAACGATCATTTCCTAAAACTTTACTAACTCTAAATGGACCAGTGTATTTAGGCAAAAGTTTACGACTTTTGCCATTATTAGAAGGAGTAGTTTTTAATATTTTAACTAGATCTCCCACTGAGTATATTTTGGCTGTTTTTCTACTCTTATCAAATCTAGACCGTTGTTTAGCTTGATTATTTTCAATGTGTTCACTAATTTCCGTTCTTATTATGTCAGTTTGTTTGTCATTCTGTCTAGTTTCTATAATAGTCTCACCTAACAGTCCTTCGCCACGATTGAGAGGACGTTTACAAAATAATGATTCAGCGGGGGTTTTTCCCGTTCCTTTATTGAGCGTATTATTGAGACCCCACTGAATTTTCCCAAGATCTTGGTCCCATTTATTTTCGCCTTCCTTATCAGAGTAAACCCTAAGTCCATCTAATATTGTGCGATTATAGCGCTCAACCTGTCCGTTGGCTCTAGGGGCTGATACTGCATTTAAAATATGTCGAACTTCAAATTCATTACAGAATTTTTTAAATTCACTAGATGTAAAACATGATCCACGGTCTGTAATTATGCGTGATGGGTGTCCAAAAATGTAAAATATTTCTTTCAGAACTTTAATCGTGGGTTTTGTTTTAGTATTGCGCAATGGTTTAACGACACAAAACTTTGTAAATCCATCTACTACTACTAACAAATACTGATTCCCTTGCGTGCTTTTTACAAAAGGACCTAGGTGATCCGCATGGAGAGTGTGAAACGGAATATCAGTTTTAGGAATACTATGGAGAAAACCTTCTTTAGATCCAGCTGGCTCCTTACCGAATGCACAATGTAAACAGGACTTTACGTACTTACTGACAAACTTATTCATTTTTGGAAACCAAAAATCTCTTTTAATCTTTTCTAGTGTCTTTTCTACCGAAAAATGTCCGATATCGTCGTGATTTCGTTGACATATCTGCCATCTTGCACCTTTCGGTACAACCCACTTTAAGTTTTCCCCAACTTTCCTTTACAGTCGATTATTTTTTACAATAAAATTCTCTTTTATATCTGCTATCTCATTGTATTTGGGGTCCTCTAAAGCATCTTTAATATACTGAATTTTTTCATCTGTCAACTGTAAACTAAGAAGCCAGTCATCCTGTGTAATGTGCATTACTCGAGAAAAATGTGCTAATTTGTCACTATCGTCATTACAGGAAATGGGATTTCTACTGAGGGCATCTACATGCTGCATAGAATTACCAGGTCTATATTCAATTGAGCAATCATACTCTTGTAATGCTATCCACCACCGTGCTACCCTGGGTATCAAATCTCTTTTTGTAAAAGTTGATCGCAATGCACTACAATCAGTTACAATTGTAAAATGTTTTCCTAACAGGTAAACTCTAAATCGGTTTAAAGATGAAACGACTGCTAGTGTTTCTAACTCATACGCATGTAATTTCTCTTCATCTATTGTTGTTTTACGACTAAAGAATGCTACTGGTTGTAATTTAGAAGAAATAAATTCTTTTTGTAATAAAATACCACCCAAACCAATTTTTGATGCATCGCAATGCAACTCCGTTATGTAATTAGGGTTATATAAAGCTAATATTGGACGTTGTACTAATTTATCTTTCAAATTTGTAAATGCGTCTTTCTGATGATTTCCCCACACCCATGGAATATTTTGACGAGTGAGATCAGTTAACGGTCGTGCTATAACCGCAAAATCCTGAATAAACTTTCTAAAATAACTGGCGAGACCAATAAATTGTCGAACCTCGTGAACATTTTTGGGTTCAGGAAATGATTTCACGGCCTCAATTTTTCCATTACCAGGTTTCACTCCCTCAGCCGATATTTCAAACCCTAAATAATTTATTGTGGTGTCAAAAAAACGACATTTGTTTAAGTTTAAGGTCAATCCTGCATCTTTTAAAAGTAAAAAGGTCTGTTCTAATTTTTCTACACAGTCATCAAAACTAGTTTCCGCAATTAATAAGTCATCCATGTAAGCTATTGCGCACTTTTTATTACCTTTATTTAGCATTTTATTGACGGTACGTTGAAAAACTGCTGGACAATTAGCTAACCCGAATGGAGCTCGTTTAAATTGGTATAACCCATCAGGAGTAATAAAGGCTGTTAAGTGTTTACAGCTATCTTTAACAGGAATTTGATAGTATCCACTAGACATATCCAGTGAAATGAAATAAACGTTTCCACTGAGAAGGTCAAGCTGGTCATCAATACGGGGTAATGGATAAAGGTCTTTAATTGTTTTTCTATTCAACGCCCTATAATCAATACAGAGTCTATAGCCTCCTGTTTTCTTTGAAACTAAAAGTACAGGGCTCGCGTATGCCGAATCTGATTCCTCTATTATGTCATTATCTTGTAGTTCCTTAACCATATCTCGCACGATATTTTTTTCAGTATGACTTAAACGATAAGGACGGTAAACTACTGGTGTGTCATCTGACAATTTTATGTCTAACTCGGAAATACTTGTACAACCTATTTCAGATAAATTAAGCGCGAAACAATCTCTATATTTATCAATTAAATCAAATACTTTAGTTTTTTGTTGTTCATTAAGGCCGTGGTTAATGTTTACTTCACTTCTATTAATAGGTTCTAATAAATGGGTCTTTAAACAAGTAAGTGACTTCTGGGACGTTGTATCTATTTTTTTTTTTTATTGGGTTGTTTGGGCTATTGTCAGATGTGT